TTCCAGGAAGGTGACCAAGGTTGCTAAGGTGATAATAGAAAAGAAAATCTGGCTTCTTGCACAAAAGTAACATCTAGTACAAAGATGGCATCTTGCACATACAACAAAGCACAAGGAAATAATATACCAAGATCAAGGAGCAACATAATAGAAAAAAGGATTTTGATAAAAGCTGACATGCTTATCATTCAGGGACTAATGCTACCAATGCCTCAATCAACACTCATGGTTGACGGAGAAGGGGTTTCGGATAGTGATGATTCTCTCTCTCAGGACAATTGTTTGCTCAAGAAAATATGGTGCTACAGCATGAACCCCGCTTTCGCAAGATTTAGGTCCCATTTTTACTCGAGATAGATTGGAATTTTAAATTAACCAGATTTTCCCTGATGATCGGCATCAGGGTTTATTTAGTTCTGAGGTTTCACTTCCTATGTGCGTGAGCTTTCATATTTAATTACCTCTCATAACCTATAGAAGAGAACTCTCAATTAAGGATGAATTATTTTTTAGATGTGCAACAGTTTTAAATTTTGGTTGTGGGGGATGGAGGTAAACATGATCAAGATCTCATGGTTTCATCATCCCGGAAATATCGTAGATTTCACTCTACCAACACTAACAACCGTTGATTATAGTGTCCAGGGAATCTGATTAGCAGTCACGGGTTGCCTCCTCTCAGGGATCCCAAGTAAACTGAAGTGGATAGATGTAGGTTGATTTGGTTTGGATTAGAACTTGCGGCTCCACTTCAAAGTTGCCCGTAGTTTAGATTTATGTTAGGCCTTCCCCATTTAAGAGTTGCCTATAGTTTAGATTTAGGTTAGGTCTTACGGCCCCATTAGGAGTTGCCTGTAGTTTAGATTAAGGTTAGGTCTTACAGACCCGTTTAGAAGTTCTTATAGTCTAGATTTAGGTTGGTCTTATAACCCGTTTAGGAGTTGCTTGTAGTTTAGATTTGGGTCGGGGCTTACAGTTTTCATTGAAAGTAGCCCATATAGCGAGCCTTATGGGTTCGTTTAAAATTAGCCTAAATAGTAGGTCTTATGGCCTCTATTAGAGGTGACCCAAGATAACAGGGAGTTAGAATTAGGTTATTTTGTACCTAGAGATTTTTCCTAAAGTTGGACATACGGCTTCTATAAAAGGTTGTCGGTTGAACTTTAGGTTAGCGAGATTTTAGTTTAGTGGGGTTTTGATAACAGCGTTGTAATTCTGCATTTAGGTGGGTCTTATTGCTTTTATTAGAAGTAGATCATATAGCAGGTCTTACGACCTCTATTAGAGGTGGCCCATATTTTCAATTAGAAGCTTCCCCTAGTTCATTTAGAATGGGGTTGATTACTCCCATTGGGAGAATTTGTTGCTCTCCTTGAGAGGGTTTATAACTCCCCTTGTAAGGTTTAATTGGGATTTATCCTAATTTAGCTATTAGGTATCTATTAAACTAACTTAGAGTAGTTACAGAACCTACCGCCCAACAAATGTGCTTTCTACTCTAGCTTTTAGTAGTTCATTGTGGTTTTGCTGGTAATAGTACTCGTAGTTTTCCTGCTTCAGTAACTTGTCTTTTTATGTTAATATTGTTATTTGTTCAATACCCTGCTTATTTTAGCACTAATTTTGTTCTTTCAAGTATTAGTTTTGTTCTGTTTGTTTTAGTACCAATTCTATTTCACCAGTATCAGTTTGGTTTTACCAGTACAAGTTTGTTTTACTAGTATCAATTTTATTTTACCAGTTCTAGTTTATTTTACCAGTATTAGTTTTGTTTTACTAGTACTAATTTGTTTTACCAATACTAGGCTGACACTTTGCTTGTTTAATTGCAGGTGTTTGTAGCTAGCAGTTGCAGGAGCTACAGCTTGCAGCTTTAGGGTTTACCAGGAGCTTGAGCCTACCAGGAGTTGGAGGGGATTGTTTTGAGAGTTTAGTTTGTTTAGAGTTGTTGTGTTTGAGAGTTTGTTTAGCTTATACTTAGGTTTGATAGTAGAAAACATTATTTTCTGTGTTTTCTTATTTTAATTTTCAGTTAATTGAAAATGCACGGGAGTGGGAGTGGCTCTGTCATCCACGTTTTATACTTGCATTTTAAATTTATGTGTTAGTTAGTTGATTTAAAGTTTAAATTTTAAATTAAAAATAAACTCTCCACTCATTAATTAATTTAAAATATATTTTAAAATTATTAAGTTATTAATTACATTGTTTGCTCTATTAATTTAAATATTTAAATTGATTAATTAAATAGTTTATTAGTTAAAAGATTAATTATATATTAATTAAGATTAAAGTTTTAATTAAAATTTTAAATTAATCAAAGCTCTGATTTTAATTAAGTTTTAAATTAATTGTTTTAATAAAATTTTAACTTAATTAATTATTTTATTAATTGAATTTTAGTTTAAAATTGAATATGAATTTTAAATTTATTTTAAAATTTAGTTATTTTTTATTTTATTATGTTGATTTAACTATTAAAAAATTTTATTTAGATTAATTTAAATTATTTAATTTGAAATAAATTAATTAAATGAAAGTTCAATTTAATTTAATTTAAAAATTATTTAGCAAATTAAACAAAATTTAAATTTAATTCAGATTAATCAATTATTCTCCGATAATTTCTAAAAATTTAGCAAACTCCTGAGACAAATTTGGTAGCTTTTCCCGCGGCAATTTCGCAGCGTAATTTTGGCAGCATCCCAACATCCCCTCCCCGTGAAGGGAGATCGGGAGGGCACTTTGCTTTTATAGCCTACCTAGTTGGACAGGATTCAACGATCGAGGGCTTCAAGGAATTAAAAACGACCACATAATTAGTCTTCCATGCTCCAATTTGACGCTCCCGGTATTCTAGCGCTTTCCTGGATTTTCGGCAGCCTATCGACGCCCCCCCCCAAGCTATATGAGGTTGGGGATGGCACTTGCCCTTTTGATTTACTCGGCCAGATCAAATCAACAACCGAGGGCTTCAAGGGATATATCAACCTCTGAATACCTCTTCAATTCTTCAGTTGAGAAATTGCGGTGTCTTGCATTTCTTATTTTAATTATAATTGTAATTATTATTATTATAACTCCTTCAATTCCCTCTTCACTTACTATTTCAAAAAAGCAAAGAGCAGGCTTGGGATGGTGAAATTTGAACAGGCAAGTGGGGGTTGTGCTCAGGTTTGGAGGTATGGGTAATCGGACTTGCAGTTCAAACAAGAGGCACGGAAAGAATTTGATTAGGAGGGAGAGGGGTTGAAAAGGGCTAGTACGCAGAGGAAGGTAGTTGGGAGTCCCGCCCGGTCGACTTCGTTCGCTTGAGTGGGAGAAGGATGGTGAGTGTTAGGCATGGCAAGCAGAGGTCAGATTGTATGTGGAGCTTGCACAGTGGCGGGTTGGGTTCAGTTGGCTAAGGATCGGCCAGGAATAGCCTGAGTCGGAGACGGGAGTCAAAGATGGTCAGGAGGTAGAGGTGTTGGGATAAGAAGCCGGAACTGGGTTTGCAAACGCAGGAGCAAGATTTAGATAGGATCACAAGAGCAGAGCGTCGATCTTCCGGTTGCAAGTGAGTGTAACCCTCTCATTTCTTTCTTTGTAATTCCATTCATATTGCAACCGGTTATTTCAATCTCAACGTGGGCAACTTGTGCAGTGAGCTGTTGCAAGTGGGGTCAATCGGGTTGTGGTTAGTTAGAGGTCAACAACAATACATCACAAACTAATTTCCAAATGAAAGATTTTTTAGATGTGTCAAGGTTTAATATTTTTATATTTATTTCATATTTCTTCCTTATTAGTTTGACTTATAACTTATTTTAAATCCGTTAAAATCTTGAATAAAATTTGGATAAAATCTAATTATAATTTTTAAAAATAGTAGGTACCAAACTCAAGATCAGACTCACACCTAATCTAACTTCATATCTAAGATCCCATAAAGCTTTATGGAAAAAGATGAAATAAAAAAGTAGGAAGCTCTCTACTATTCCTTTTGAACTCCATCTAGGGCAGCAAGGCCTCTCATAATTCAAGAGGAAGCAATTCATAGCGAGCCAACAGCTCATAAATGAGAGCCTAAGGTCAAGCATCGACAGTAGTGCGTTTCCTTCATTTCAATAGGAAGAAATCAATAGTGAGGAGGTAATTTTAAGGTCGATTGGAAGGATGTCAAGCTCTCGTCGGCTGACAATATTGACCGATGAAGGAAAATAGTTGACATCCATTCCTAATGGTTGCAGTGCGAATCATCAACAAGTTATCAGAGTAGGAGGTGGCCAATGGCTTTAAGAGAGGTACTAGGGGCAGCTAAACATCCGAGCTTGCAACTGAAACAATGAAGGAAAAGAAAAGAGCTCAAGCACTATGTAGTTATAAAGAAGTGAAAGAAGGAACGGGATATTAAATATATGGAATGATATATACATCATATTAGATTATACATACATGTAATGTTTGATATTATGCCTTCTTGAGAAATCTGTGGTTTGAATAATTTGAGATGTTGCTTTAATAACCAATAGAGAGATTAGAAAAATAGATAGAGCGAAGAAAAAGAAAAAATGAGAGAAAAACATGGTGAGGCAAAAAAGGGATAATTTTGGGCATTCAAAATATATTGTATTTTATATATAATTGTTTGTGGTCTAATAGATCATCTATCTCTTTGTACGATCTTATACATAGGTGGTTCTTACCAAACCAAGTAAATTCTATTCTATTTTTCTCTTGATATTCTTCTTGTAGATCATTTTTTTTATTCTCGTAATCGTCATAGCTCTCGAGCAAGAGCTTTTCTGCAACACTTACTATTTCTATTTTATGCTTTTCTAGATGCAAAATTAAATTTCAAAAAATTAACAATGCTAAGATCCTTGTTACAATAAAAAACATGTAAAACAGTTTTTAAATTCTACCTAAGAGGACAGATGAAATCATGAGCTCATAAATCCAGAGAAATCATCTATTAAGCTGCATCGCATTCGTAATAAGTATTCAGGTCAATATATGTAGCCATCAAATGATTATGCAGAAATTACCAATTTAGAGAGCTCCCCATCGAGCCAATCCACGAATGTCAGAACATCGTCCATACTAGTGTAGGCTGCGGACTGGACTTTATTTATGAGATGTTTGATAAACTCTCCTTTTGTTTCTACATCTGCTTTAATCTATTGAAACAGTTAAAAGTCATGAAGGAAATACATACATACATACAACATATATATACATACATACACACAACAAAATAAAAAATAATTGTTTGACATATGCAGCAGTATTTTCAAAAGCTTACCGCTAACAAATGAGCTGATCTGTTTTGAAGCTCTCCAACTAAGCTGTTATGCACGCTACTAGCAACCTGACTGGAGCAATTTCCATTGCCTTTGGCATCTCTTTTTGTCAAACAATGGTAGAACTCTACCAATGCAGTAGCATTTTGCATCTTTCCTTCTTTTTTAGAATGAAGGTGAGGTGGAGGAGGTGGCGGTGGTGGATGAGGAGGTGGTGGTGGAGTTTTTAGTTCGGGAGGAGATTTGAGGGGTTTGTTTATTAAAATGTTAGATTTAACTTCTTCAGGTTTAGCTCCACGATTTAGAGGCAAATACTGCATTTTATTGTTTATGCTTTCTTCATCCACTGTCTTTTCTCCAACAATTTGGTCTAACTTATTTGCAGTGTGCTTCTGTACACCGTCTAATTCAGAGGGCACTCTTTCCTTGCCTGCTGATGCACCCTATCACAATGAGAAGTAAATCTTCAATGCCACAGTAGAGTATTCAAAGACAATGTAATAAAAGAATTTACTTACATGTTTCAACTGCAAAACATGTCATATTTGCTTTCTAAATTATATATTTATAATTCTCAGTAGATTATACAAGAAGATCGATTAATGTAAGAATTTAGCAGTTAATAGCATTATTCTTTCAAATGTATTTTAAATGAATTTAACTACAAGATATATGGATAGAAAGATGGGTAAACAATATCGTAGCAACCTTCAAACCCAAGATTTTCTTTTCTCTGTCCTATCTTTTTTACTTAATTTCTCTCTAATGCTATCTGTTAAAAATGAATGGGAAAGATGACACTATTTGATAAAATATTTAAGTGGGTATAGATATTTATATTAAAGTATAATAAGGATGTATTGGTAATTATGCCATTTGTTAAATTTTATAGCATAAATTTCAAATAAATCATTTTATATTTTTAAATCCAAAGCTCCAAAAATTATAAAAAAATATTCATAAAATAACTGATCATGCTTAGAAAACTTTGGTGAAATCAATTTGCAAAATAGACACTTAACAGTCTAAAAAATCAAACTTGTACTGATAGATTCAATTCAAAAATTCAGAAACAATGAAGCATTTTGATACTAGATTCAATTTTATTTTGATTGATTAAAAGAAACAAAGCAGCCTAAGTCTAGCTTCACCTAAATTAACTAAATAATGAGTAAGTTAAACCAAAATAGATTCATGCAAAAAAACGAGGTAGAGAAATAAAAGGTGGTTTACATAAAATTCTTACCCAAAAAAAAAAAAACAATCATTAAAAATAATCCCGGTAATTAATAAAATTCACTAGAAAACACATTTATTAAAGAGCTTTACTACTTTTACCTGATCATGCCTGTTGAGTGCCGCAAACTTTATTTCAGCGGCCAACAAATCATTTGCAAGCTTCTTCTTTTGTTCTTCTAGCTCAACATTTAGACCCTTCAGCTTCTCAATCTCCTCCTTCAGGCACGAAATTTCTAACTGCATATCTTTCACCAAGATCTCATTCGCATCCAATCTCTTCTGCAAATCTGTAGCCTTGTCATCATGCTTATCCTCACATCTACTGGAATTTATATCTAATTTTCTCCGAAACTGAGCATACTTCTCCACCGGTGGAACTCCTGGCCGATACCCAATCTTTGGATCCCCTGCCTCCATTTCCCTTTTGTAAGTAACGTTTTCTCCATCTAATCTCAGCTTGTTTGGAAGAATTGATCTTTTGACCTTTGGATTAGCTAAGGACTCCAAAGAAATTGGTTTTGGCCTGCCTGTTGTTTGAGTTGAGACTCTGTTTGCTGATTCTAACCTTGGAATCTCCCTAACTCTTGAAGCTTTTGCACGATTTGAAGGTGATGAGGTTGTAGAGGAAGATGTTTTACTTTCTGAAAGCTCCTTCATAGTATGAAATTGACTGATGGGGACTGCTACTAACAGTTTAATAAGATCATAAGATTGACCTCTCCCAAACATGCAGAAGAAAGACCAGACATGACCTTGACTTATGTGCAATTTTTAGGATCTATCAACAAAGACAAGCAGCTTGTGATTCTAAGTGACAGGTGATATTAGAAAAAGGAAAAGTACTGGCAGTGCAATAAAATAAATACAAAGGAACGGGTTAGTTGTACAGCATTTATTTATTGGGATGAAATGGGACAAAAGATAATATTATTTATGACAGGGTGATAACAAACCTCACTAGGATTAGCTGAAGCTCTTATATTTAAAGAAATAAAATAAAGTGAATATGATTGTTAATCACATTTGTAATCCTTGATTTGGGACATGCAGTATATGGATATTGTTATGAGAAAATTGTGTTTGATTTCTCTCTAGAGTTATAGAACAACTTAAAGGATTGGGAAACAAGCCCACATCAGAGAGTATGGTTTTATTGATGGAAAATCAAACAGAAATAGACTATCCTTTTTTTTTCAAGGGCAGGGTAAACGTTCAAACCCAACCCACCATGATTCTCAAAGCTTTCTCATCCAGTGCTGCAATGTCCTACATGTTCAAGCGCGAAATATACTAACTTCAAAGCCAAATGCAAGCTCACAGTTATTTATCTTAAAAAAGAAATCATTGTTAATATCAAATAAAACACAAAATTAGTGTATTGCTGCTTTGTAATATTAGCCATTGACACTCACAACTAAGGAAGAAATCTTCACAGAAAACTAGAAAGTGAGCAATGCCATGAAAATTTCTTCTCAAGTAACCTAAGCATCGCTTTAACAGTAATTCTTAAAATAATTAATGCAATACATAGCAGAGAAAAGACTATTGGACCTAGAAAGTCAAATGTGATAGTATGACTTCATTATCAAGGAGCCATATTTTCTTTCCAATCTTGTCATTCCCTAGTTGAGCTTATAGCAAAAATAATATGCTTATTAGAAAACTTTTTTATCACAAATCTGTCACTCAGATCCCAAATTCTTTGACAGAAAGGCTATATTTTTCAATTCATCTATAAGCATTATTCACTTTAATAACATCCAGTACTACTTTTATAGCAGTAAATCTATGATCTCTTTAAAACCCAATAAAAGGAAGCTAAATAATCATATAAGCATTTGAATTAACAACAAAAGAAGCACACTCTTAGGGACAAATAACATTCACACCTTAGCTTAGAAAATAAGAAAATCAGCTGAATGCCAAACAAGTATGACAACGACTTGCACTCAGTCAGAATAAATATCTTGACCTGCTTTAATCACTTTTTGCTGCCAATTCTTGGACCCAAGCAGCCAACCAAAATCCATTGTATGTGCCAACTGGATATATGGACCACAAAAAATTGTGAGTTCCAAACTCAACATACAAGATTACGTTTACTCGTATTTGTAGGGGCCAGCTAACTAAGACGATAAATATTTGAACATTTTAGTTTACAAAATATAATTATTGCGACATTAAGGTTTCGTTTGGGACGGCTTTCTTACTGCTTCTTAAAACAATTTTTTAAAATAAAAATTAAAATTTTTGTACTGGAAAGCAACTTTAAGAAGCAGTAAAAAAGTTGTCCCAAACAAATGCTAAATTTATGTTTTGACACTCAAACTTTTGGCCCAAAACAAAAAAGTTCTCTAATTTTGTATGCTATCTCTTCCTTCACGAGAAGAGAAAACAATATTTGACAAACAAGCCATTGTCTCACTGCTAAAAAACAAGCTTCTTCCCTAGAGCTATGGCCCATTTATCACAGCCATCAATCAAGCATATATATCCGAATAAAGCATACACGAGATATCAATCATTAAGGAAAAACTATTATGTGATTCTATGAACCATGTGTTTTGTCCTTGCATTACAGTATTATTATGTCCTTAAAATTTAATAGAAATATAATATAAAAATTTTTAATTAATGAAATATAGATAAAATGCATGTATCCCTTGGAAATTTTGGGCGTGTAATTAATAATTCCTCATCATTATGGCTTCGTTTGGGATGGCTTTCTTTCTGCTTCTTAAAGCAGCTTCCTAATACAAAAATTAAAATTTTTATACTATGAAGCTGCTTTCAAAAAGCAATAAAAAAGCCGTCCCAAATGAAGCCTAAGTGTGTTATGCTTGGCAATCTACCAAACATTTTAGGTACAATGGAAGATATCTCCCATTAACAAAATAACTAGTGGATGTATTTTAGTATTTATGATGATGAAGAAATTAGAAAAGTATAATGGACATTTTACCTAATCCTTGAATGTAGCTAAAACACAATTTTCCACACCAACTCGTCATTTCAACAAAACGGGCAGCTTACCTTACTTTGCACCAAGAAAATACCTTCAGGTACACTCCATTTCAGGTCTTATTAAATAAGATTTAGCTTAAATCTCCTCGAATAATTTTTGGGGAGTTTACATCCTATTATTTTGATAAATACCGTTTCTTCTAGATTTGATAGATTTACGAACTTCTTCTCATAAACTTTAAGTACTAAAACAAAATAGACAAACAGTTTATCAGTATTTAACAGGGTTTAAAATTTATCAAAACAAATAGTTTTTAAATTTTAATGATCTCGAGATTTATTAAATTTAGATTCACAGAATTTACTTAGAGTTCTCCTTCAAGGATTTTTAGCAAATAGAACTTCGCCATTAATTAGAAAAACTCCTCTAGCGATTCCCATTGAAAGTAGTACGTTTCCTGCATTTCAGCTCCAACTTTAGAACAGAGGAAAGTCCATCGATCTTCCACCTGCTCCCTTCTAAAAAATTTTCTAACCATCCAAACTTAATAAATTTTATTAATTACCAAAAACACCAATTGTTTTAATAAACAAAAAGAACAAATAATCTAAATAATCGAAGTTCAATGAGAAAAAAATGGAGAAAAAGATCAGTACTCACATGCTCAGAACATTTAATCCTCAAACGCAGTTAAGAACTGCAGACCAAAAAAATCCAGTGATTTTGAAGCAAGCATTAGAAAATATACTAAAATAATACTACTAATAAAAAAAAAACGAATTTTGAGAAGCCTGCCAAGATTTCCTCACATTAGAATAGAACTAATTTACAAAAAAACCTAATTTTTTACCTCGTTTTCTTACAAAAGTATTAGTATATTACCTGAAGAGAGCGAGAGAACGGACAGGGAGAGTTCCTGGATGCTGAAGCCAGTGGAGGAAATGAACAACGGCCAATTATTATGGAATACGAGGCTACTAAATTTATATTTATATCTATAAAGGTGCCGTATGAAGACCGGCAGAAGGTGATGGTTCAAACAATCTTGCACCGTCCATTCCATTAGTCATTGATGAGCGGCTGGATGAATGTAAGCGTCTTACCAAGAAACATTTCATAAAATATAGTACACCTTATTAAAATTTATTCATTAAAAATAAAGAGATATTGCTATCTAATTGCTCAAGTAGTTTAAATTTCAAATCTTAAAAAATAAATAAATAAATAAACATAATTTTATGCTAAAAATATAAATATGTAATTGTGTACTTCTTATGTATGTTACTTTTTGGCTGAACTAAAAAAATAGAAAGTGCTAAAAATTAAATTTTCTTATAAAAATTTATCATTGTCATTATAATTAATTATAGAGGCATGAATCTATATAAAATTTTGTATGAATTTTATTTTCTTTCATTTATTTTTTTTCTGGATTATTTGAATCGGATCACATGAATCTATTGCAACTATGTTGATAGGTAAGTTCCATACTTCCATGTTAATTATAGATTGATTTGAACAAGGACAAGCATCAAATTGGAATGGATAAGTGCTTAGAAAGCAAAGCTCACATCGAGCAACAACCATGCATCTAACAAAATGGACCCACAGCTAATAATAAGGGTGTTAATATATGGCACGACTTGAAACAGGGGCGGATCCGACTCCTTTTTATAGGGTGGGCAAATTTTTAATTAATTAAATAACAACAACAATAATATATAAATTGATAAATTTAATAATAGTCATGCTCAACAATTTCAAGTTTTAATTCTCTCAAAATTTATTAAAACCTATTTGAGTTAAATCATACTTGTAGGCAATGATGCTAATGTCTATAGATTTGAAGCTAACGAGCGACACTTATTTCCTATAGATTTGAAGCCAATGATGCTATTGTTCTAGATGTCTCTTACAGAAACAAATGAGCCGAGTCGGTTCGTGAGCCGATTTGAACTCGACTCGATAATTAGCTCGCGAGTCGAACTTATTGAGCTTCGAGCTGATGAAAATAATCACCCACAATTAATCTTTTTCTCATTTAATGTCTTATGTCCAATAAATTTTCCATAACTATTAACAGCAACTGCCCATATCCTCCTGCCATGATTCTTTCATCTTTAAATTGCAACCTTCTCTTTAAAATGGACTTCTTTCATCAGCACCGTCTGAGCTCTCTCTCTCTCTCTATTCTTAATCCTTCCTCATTTCACCTTCTCACCGTCGGAGCTCTCTCTTCTTTTGAAGGATTAACTAAATCCTACTTGTAACCAAACATAAAAAATATAACCAAACATTTCACCTTCTCCTCACTTGCATTGTTTAAGTAATCCAAACAGGAATGAAATGTAATGCTAATTTAAGTAATCCATATATATGCTAAGAAGTTTACATAAAAAATAAGCTCAACGTCAAATCTTCCTAAATTATATTTGCTAGTTATTTGTACTCTAGATCAGGAACCCAACTATGTTCGGCAACTATGGCAGCATTCAAACATCTTTTTAAAAAATTAGATTAAATAAATGTTACCTTCAATCCGGCAGAAGGCTGCGAAGAATGGCGAGAAGAATGGCGAGAATGGCGACCTCTTTAAACCATCAAGAATACTACGAAGAAGAAGACTAGATGATGTGAAGATGAAGGTTGCGACTGCAATATGCGAAGACGAAGGGTCAAAGGTTGCACGTCAAATGTGACTGGGGGAGTCAGGAAGACGTGATTTGCAATAGCTGTTCGAAAGGCGAGATTGTCAGAGACGCACTGATTGATAAAATTAGAGAAAAAAATTATTTTTGAGGGTGGTAGAATTTCAAAATTGCCCTGCTTATATATTAAATTTTTTTTTTAAAGGTAGGCATTTGCTCACTACCCCTGAATGAATGAGGATCCACCACTCGCTTGAAAATCTGATTCAGACTTGACCCAAAAATTTTGTGTTCAGATCTACCCTTTAACAAACGGGTCGGGTTCGGATTGATTTTTTTTTCTTAATTAATATATCGGGTTGGGTTCAAATTAACCTACGAACCCGGAAACAACTTGTTTGACTTGAAATCGTGCTAGAAACCACGCTTGCCCCCATGCTTGGGCTCGTGCTTACACCAACATTTGTGTCATGCTCACACACATGCTCCCACTCACCTACTCATCTTTCCCCCTCGCGGCCTCATCCCCTCGCCTACTCACGGCCTCTCGCTGCACTCGTGGGTTAGCAAGTTGAGGGTCAACTCATGTTAGGGGCGGGTTAGGTTCGGGTCTGAATTTCTTACCATTTTATCAAATTGGGTCGTATCAATTGAAGACAGTTCAGTTTCAAGTTAGACTCAAATCTGACTTAAAAACTTTAAGTTTCAATTGAAGACAGTTCAGTTTCAACAAATAATCCCATGGATTTATATGACCTAATGTGGCTTATTATGAAGTGTTAAGCAACATTAAATTATTTTATATTAAAAAATAGTTCAATAACAATGTCAAAACAATAACAATGTCAAAAAAAGGACAAACAATTAAGAAAATCAACATCAAGGTACTAAACTATTTAAAGTCTATCATAGAAGAAAAAGAAAGCAAATCTTTCAAAGATTGGGAGCACCACAATAATTGGCCAGCTACATTAACTTGTGTTTCAATTTATTTGATTATTAAACCGGTCCCAAACTTATTTTTAGTTTCAACTGGTCTAATCCTTTATTAAACCCAAAATAAATTTACGTAAATACTACAAAAAAATCCCAAATGTTATAATTGAATTCAGAAAATTATTTTCTATTTTCTCCCTTTTCTAAAATCTCTGTTCTTCGTTAAGGATTCTACACCAACTCAAAAGATGAAGATCAAGAAGCGCATCAATGGTGCTCTCGTTGAGCGCTGAAACATTTCTTTCAGCCGTCAGCCCACTTCTCCACAGCCAGCCGCCCTACTGCCTTTCATCTTGACAGGAAGTCCTCGGTCGCCTTCATCTGCCAGCTTCAGCCATCAAGAACAGCAGTCTTCAGCCAGCAGTCTTCGTCTGTCTTCGGTCGTCCTCTATTTTTCCTTTCAAGAACCAATCACCAATTCATCCCAAAGCCTATCACCAGCTGCTGTCCTCCAAGAATCTGTCGTTAGCTGTTCTTTTCAACACTCAAGAACAAGTTATTCTTTCTTCTTTCGAAACTGCAACTGGTACCAATTCAGGATCCTCATCCTTCCAAACATCCATCGTCCGCAAAGACCAACCAACATGAAGAACATCGATTTGACAAAATCTCTCCTAACAATGCAAAACCAATCAAGAATTACAATTCTCTGAAATCCAAAAAACTCTACAACAACCTCCATTGGCTCATCACTTTAACAATTCCATGTTTTCATGCATTCTTGACTAGTAGCTTGATAGTTTATGTATTAACCGCCCACCTCCTCTACTCCATCAAGATCCTTCCTCTTTTCCGGCATTCTTTGTTCTACCGATGTTATCCCTTCTCACCATCTCCTATAAGTTTTTTCCCCCTTAAATCAATGAAAAATAAACTTCCCACTTTAATGGATTCGACATCAAAACATGGACGTTTAAAGCACCTGAATAGTTCGGTTTTCATAACACTCCTATTGTGTTAACATAGCTTCCTTTTATCTTGAATGATCTGCGGCTACTTGGTCCGAAGGTTTATGAATGAAATGTCTTTTTGGTTCTTTTCCATCTCTTAACTTTGATGACAATATTATTTTTCATGGCAATGAGAATGTTAAGCAACAAAATATTCTTTTGGATTCAAAGATAGTACAACAACAATGTCAAGAATGAATGAATAATTCAGAAAATCAACATCAAGATAATCAAATATTTAAAATATATCATAGAAGAAGGATAAAAAATCTTTTAAAGATTGGGGCACTATAACAACTAGCCGTCTACAAAAACTTGTGGTTTAAATTAATTCAGCATTAAATCGATCGCAAACTCATTTTTAGTTCTTTTATTTTACTTGTCTTGAACTAACTGATCTAACCCTTTATTAAACCCAAAATTGATTTATGTAAACACTTTAAATAGACAACAAAAGTTGTAATTGAATTCAAAAAGCATCTTTGCCCTAACTTTATCAATTATGCCCATCACGCCTGCTAGACGCCAGTTCGCAGACCATTTGTTATTCTTGCCGCTTTCACGAAATCGCATCTGATAATCGACATTCCACGTTCGGTCGCCGCCTTCATCTTCGTAGTCCTCTCCTCTTCTTCCCATTCAACATTCAAGAGGTCATTGCATTCTCTCAAATCCTAACCTCCGGCACTTCGCAGTCGGAAGTTCCGGCTCTTCGCAGTCGTTGCCTTAGGCACTCGTCATTCATCAAGGTAGCTTTAATCTAGTGAATAATCTTGTTCTTTAGGCACCTCCCTGCTACTCCAGTGGCCCTATTTCTTGTTGAACGAGCATCAATTAGTTTTTAGAACATTTTAAACTTGTGTATGATGAGAAGATCTCATAAGTTTCAACGCCCATATAAATTAAAACATGAAGAGGTTAACATGAAAATGAAAGGGATGGTGTGTACTGCATTTTTTCTTGTTCTTCCTTTTGCAGCTACAATGATTTTTTTAATACTATTTTAAACTTGTTTTACAGCTGATGAGGACTACATTAGTGCACATTTTGAGGATCGTTTTCTAGAGCATTTTATTTTTGGCTGAATTTCCCTTTGGAAAACTAGAGGGGTAGAAGTAGAGAGTCAGAGAAATCATTTGGAACTCTTTTGTTTTATATAAGAAATGAAAAATGATTTTTATTTTATTTTATTATGTTATCATTTGTATATGGTTCTATTTTATGAGTTTTCAAAAGTCTTAATTCATTGCCAAATTGCTCATCCTTTAGGAAAGATTAGTTGTAGTTTTTTGTGAGTTTCTGAGATGTGTAATCTATAGGTATTTCTTTGATTTTATTGGATTATTTGAAGCACTCTTTTTTC